CTGTTCTAGATCGATACTGCTACGGAGGTTTCGACTTCCACTGGAATGCAACTCTCGTGTATGAGAGAAGAGCTTGGTAGTGCTGGACTCAAAAACATCGCTTTCTGCGCCTGGTGTTCGTTTGGCCGGGCTTGAAGACTTTTGTGATTTTGACGATCCTATCTCTTTCATCAATGCAGAAAAGACTCGTTTGGGATCGACAGGCGTAAGTGACTCTTCAGTGAGGATCTCCATGGGCATGGGGTCGCGGAAAGCGGCGAGAGGTGGGAGAGGCATAGACTTCCTTCTCGAAGCACTTGTAGATGCCGCACGGTCTGCCTCGCTCCCAATGCTATCTTTAGACTCATGGATAACGGTCATTCGCTTCATGGCACGTTGTGTCAGCGTATCGCTGGTGGTAGTAGTTCCCCAACTTGTGACTCGAGAAGCTGATACGTTCGCAGCATTGGCTTCGCTATGAAGACTCCGATTGCTCCGTGCACTTCCGGTGCTGTTGCTTCTGGATCCAGATCGTAGAAATGCGGGGTAAGCGCCTTCAAGTGACGGTGTCCGAGCACGAATGCGTTTTAACGTTTCTTCATTAGGTGGAGGAATACTCAGTCCGTCCTTGGCAGTGGGTGGACTATAGTGCGCAGTATGGAAGTAGTCGCGACTGGCATCAATCTGCTGGACAGGGAGATTGGTGGACTTGCCCGACGTGCGCCGGAAGACCTTCTTGATTTTGCTTTTGAGAGACCCGGAGAACGATCTCTTTTCCTTGATTTCCTGGGGTGGCACGAAGTCGCTCAAGGCAAGATCCGCCGTCGACTCGTCGGGTGTTTGCTGATAATCCGTAGAGAAAGATTGCGCTTCTGACGCGACACGCTTGCCCTTGTCCTTCCCTTTATCTTGTCGTTTCTTGAAGGGCGCTAGAAACATCGACGGTTTGTGCTTCACCGCCTTCTGCTGAAAGTCTTGTAGATACTCATCTCGTACTTTGTCAAGCGTAGTGTCAGGTCCGACTGTGACCGGCATACGCGGGCCTGCCAGTGGTGACGGCCGAATCGTTCGAGAGGGTAGAGGTATTGGCGAGGGTTCTGATACCGGGCTGATGCTTGCCACAGGTGGTGTTGTAAGATACTTGGACGGCGGCCGAGCAATCGGTGATCCCGTCTGAACACTGCTTGCGTAGTACATGGAACGCGCTTTCCGTATCTGCTGCGAGGTAATCGAGGACGAAGCACTCTGTCGAAATGACTTTGGCTGGGAACTCGGTCTAACATTCTCGCTGAACGTGATCGAAGGCTGCGTCGATAGATACCGCGGTATGGAAAGCGACCCATGGACGCTGGGAGTAGGATAGAAGGGCGGAAATTGCTCTGTGTTCTGTTCCGTAGAGTCTGCTGAAGCCTGTGACAGGCGTTGTGCACTTCTCGTCTGCTCGGCAGTCGGACGCTGCAAAGACCGGAAACTCGAGTCGCGAGGTGGAAAGTGGCTGCCCTGGGAGGTGAGAGACTTGCGGCTGGCGTTGCTCTTCGATCTCGCTAGCTCGACACTACGTTTTGCGTTACGGTCTGCCGCATCTTGAGCCTGTGCACGAGCAAAGGCAGCAGTGGCTGCAGCTAGGGCCTGCTGTTTGATCGCATCTAGATCCAGCGGTTCGGCGATGGAAGTGGGACGTTTGTGGACGGTCGAGGCAGACTTAGACCGGCGGAGGCGAGTACCCGCATCGCTATTCGCACGAGCAAGCATCGGAGTGGCAGGATAAAACTGTGGTTGCTGGAGTAGTGCGGTAAGAGGGTGCGGCCAACTTAGCGAAGCAGTGCTAAAGACGTGTTGACGGCATGTAGCAGAAACAGCGGTAATGAAGCACGACCAACGGAATGGTATGAGGGGTGATGCATTCGGACATGTGGGAAGAAAGACACAACAGCCAAATGTTGTTGCGGCAGTTGCAGTCTTGTACGTCACTGCCTATGCTGTGGAAGAAGCGGCGACTTGAGGCCTCGCATGGCAGGAGATACCACTGTCTCTGGAACGCGCCTTCCCGGGAAAATATTACCATTTTGATAAGATGGCATGTGCCCCAAATTGGAAAGAAAGCCTTCGCAATCGGGCATGAGAAGTCAAATTGTCCGCCTGTATATTATGATCATGGCAGGTCTCTATGCCTGGCGAGTTCCTCGTGGTCCAGCGCACTCGTGCGTATCTCTTCCTCGTCCTCGTCATGCACTGGCACATAAAACGGTTCTTTATCCCCCACGTCAATATAGTTCGTTACGATAGTCATGAACGCGAATACCACAACGGAGATCAAGAAAGGCAAACCAAGCCAGGCGCCGCCAAGACCAATACCCACCTGGAACAGCTCGCTCAGCAGTGGGCCCGCGATCATGGCGCCAATACTTTCTGCAATCGCAATGGTGCTCATGAGTTTGCCAATATCAGGACTCGACTGACCGCCCACAACATGAATGGACACAGATCGCATTGCAGCGGTGTAACCAGTTCCCATGTTGTAAATGAGAAGCCCAATGATCAGAAGAGAAGGATGTGCGGCAATACCCATGACGAAGAAGGCGATGGTAGTAAAAGCTATGGATCCGCGTGCGATCCAGAGATCGGCCCAGTGTGCAGGGAAACGCAGCTTTTTCAAGAGAAAGAAGTTTGCTAGTGGGATCAAGATAGTGACAGCCACCAAGTTGGTAGCTGCGCGGAATGAGAGTAAGTAGGCGGCCTTCTTGATCTCCCAGCTGTAACGCTTCGAAGCATAACGGACCAGAAGCGAGATGCACTGTCTGCCCAGTCTGTTGGCCAAGAACGTAAGGACGACCAGGCTCAAGGTCCAATCGCTCCTCAGGAAGTGCACTGCATCCTGGAAGTTGCGGAGTTGTGCTCGCAGCGAAAAGTGGCTGGTTGTAGGCGTGGGCTGTAGCTCGAAGACCTGGTCTCCGCTGTCCTTGGGTTCAGGCAGATCGCGCAGGTGCAGCGTCTCGGGGACGAACAAAGCCACAACAACTCCCATAAGCTGTATTGCTAGTGACAATAGCAGAGGCAGCCAGTTCCCGCTCTCCATCAGCCTCGCTGCCATTATCGGTGCCAGCATTTCCGCAACAAGTACACAGGCCGTCAGGTATAGGAAGACCGTCGTTCGCTTTTCTGGAGGTACGATGTCGGAGATCATCGTTACACCGATAGCCATGGCTACGATTGGACCGCCGCCGATGATCGTGAAGGCGCTTGAGAACCACGTCAACTGTAAAGGGAGAGAGTTGAAGTAGGCTAGCCATACGTTAGCATTGTAGCTATGATTTGTGCAATGCCATCTTACTTATGATCATCACCCAGACGAAGGCAAGGTCCAACCCGACCAAGCTTGCTGTGACGATCCACTTCCTCCCTATTTTATCTGCCCAGGTGCCATATGGCACGGCCAAAAGAATGCCCGGTATCGCGCTGAACATGTCCTGCCAACCAAAAATGGTGGCGAGTCTCTGCTGCACCACATCCACCTTGCACATCTGCTCTGGTATGCTTCCGTCGCCATCGATCACCGAAGGGTCTTGTTCGCGGTAGTACTTGAGACATAGATTCTCCTCAAAAAGACGTGTCAGAGGTGGCTCGGCAAGGTAGGCACCCACATCGACGACTGCGACAATGATGAAGATGAGCACCACGAGGAGTACCCATGGCTTCTTGGTCGGTTTGTGCGGTGGCAGAAAGGCCGGTTCTGTCGGGGTCAAGAGGGCTTCGTCATCTTCTAGAGATTCTCGTGGTAGATCCAAGTGTAATGCCATTGCGATAGCTCGTCAACGTACGGCGGGAGGAAGGAAGGGGGGCGGGTATGTGGCTGACGCGCATGCCAATGGCGCGACGGTAACAAAGAGAAAGGATGCAAGGAGCAAGCTGCAAAAGTCAGTGATATCTATCGTTAGCTAAATATCATCGTGAGAGTGTTCATGGGTTTGTAGGGCGCGCTCTGGAATATGAGACGGCCCCGGGGCTGTGAAACGAGTCCGCGATTACTCTGGGCATCCCGTCGATCTTTCCAACGCCGAGTGTTGTGTCGCGTCACGGACACGGCCGGGGTTATGTCAGCAGCGAAGTTTAGCCGGTCAGATAATGCCCCGCTGCCCGTCTTGATTACTCCGCGAACAATACCACAAGTTAAGATTCCGTTCGGCCCAAAGTTTATTGCTAAAATAGTTTCGGTAATTATTAGTTCGTCGTTTGGAGGGACCGACATAGACATTCGAAGAACGCATTTGACTCAGATCATTTTTCGCACACATCCTTCACTTTGCTACGTCTCAAAAACCACAGTCCTCTCAATGCAAGATTTGTCGTAACATCAGACGGAGCTTCGACCGAGACTCGGACGTCCGCGAACAACCGACTTCGTTAGAGCGTTTGCTATAGTCAGTCGCATGCATCATTTTCTGCGGAGCGCTGCCGCACCGATTCTATGTCAAACTGGACCTGATGTTGTCCCCTGACTTGACGTGAATGAGGATACAAACGGCAATGAGAGAGTTTTGTCACATGCAAGTGGCCCCTGACGTCTTCTTTGATATACTGATAGAGCCTCAAGAGCACACTGAACGCAATTGCTGAGTAAGTCGGGTACAAGAGCGCTCAAGTGTGCGTTTGCCAGTGGACCATCGCTCTCACACTCTCAACTATACTGGATATGGGCCCGTTGGTCATATATCGATCGCGTCATCAGTCCTCTCTTCGCATTTGACTTGGCCTTCTCCTTTACCTCGAGCAAACGCTCCTGTCACAAGGGCATCATGGCAGGCGAGGACGATGTAGTCGGGTCTCGGACTAGGGCCATATATAAGGATCCTCTACCACCACTAGACTTGGACTCCTTACCTACACTTCAAGACCCCACCGCCTGGCATACCTCGCTATATTATCATCTTCCTTCCTATATCTGAACCACCACCTAACAGCTATACACACATTCATCATGTCTAGCTCCAGCAACTCCAACACCACTGGCAACTTCCAGGCCCATGGACCGCGTCATGTCCGTGTACCCGATGACGCCAACGTCACCGTCTGGCAAATCCTTTGCAATGGTAAAGAAGTCCCCTCTCCTCATTGTATCCACCAACTCTAACCATACCATCTCCTTAGGCTTAGGCCCTTTCACTGTCGACATCGCCGCCGAGTCCAGTACACCAGAAGCCAATCCCGCTCGCCCCCAGTTCCTCAGAGGCATCACTTTCAACGCCGAAAAAGAAGAAGAATGGAGAAACACCGTCCTTCCCTACATCCGCCTTCTGACTTTCACCGTCGCCTCTACCACCGACACCTACTTCATCGGCGAAATGCTGCAGTCTCTTCCCGATCTCGACAAAAACATCCTCAAAGTCGACATGAACGGCTTTCACTGGTTCTCTGGTATTACCGACAACCGCCATTCAAACCCATATCTCGCTCTGGCTTCGAGTCTGCCTGAGCTACAAGAGATGGCTTTCACTCTGCATACATCCACGGTTACAGATTCCATGTTCGGTGAGAGACAGCTTCAAGAGTTAGAACGGGTAGATCCTGAGAGGGCGAAGAGAAGGGTGACGAGGTCGGTTGCGGATATTGTTCGGAAGTATGGGATGAAATCCATCTTCGACAACAAGTCCCTGAAGCACCTCCGTCTGGTATACATCAAGAGCGACATGGTGGCCGCCTACACTGTCGATGGCGACCCCGAGAATGTTATCGCCGGTATCAAGAATTGGTTGCTACAGGGCTTCAGGAACCAAGGTCAGGAGGTTGTGGTGGAGCTTTCACGTGCGTCTTGATTTCTGTGGAGGGTCTGGAGTATGATTGTATCTATTATGAAAGTGTGATACCATGAAGACCTCTTGGCTTCTTCATAAATATAGAGGTGGAAACAAATAAACACAGTCTGCTATACCCCAACGCCTTTTGGCTCCGATGTGATGACAAAGGAAATGTTTTGTATACCCGCAGACATATGTGCAAAGAAATGAACTCGTCACCATATTATCATTATGTATATGTCCAGCTCTGTGCCTATCGCGATACGGTGTTTATCGCGTCATCGTCATCGTCGTCCTCTACGTCTCCCCCTCGTGCGGTGTCCTCGTAGAGGCTCTTGAACCAGCTTCCTTGGCGGTCCAACAGCTTGTGCGGGCAGCCGTACTCGACGAGTTGGCCCTTGTTCATGACGACGACCTTGTCGAAGTCGAGTATGGTGTCGAGTTTGTGCGCGACGGTAATGAGGGTGTGGTGTGGGAAGCGGGAGCGAAGAAGGCGTTGGACATGGGCGTCGCTTGCAGCATCGAGACTAAGCGTCGTTGTTAGTATTGAGAGTGCGCTGGAATGTGCGATGACTTACTTGCTGGTGGCCTCGTCCATGACGACCACGGTGGACTTGTCCTTCTTAAGCATGGCGCGCGCTAAGCAGAAGAGCTGGCGCTGTCCGTGCGAGAAGTGGAGGTCTTCAACCTCGACATCTAGCGGATGCGCGTACTTGTCGACATCGCCCTTGGACACAATGATGTCCCAGAGCTGGACGTCTTTCAGCGCGGCCATAATGGCCTTGTCATTCGACTCTCTCAAAGGATCGGCGTTGAGGCGGATCGAGCCGGGCAGTAGGTAAGCGTCCTGAGGTAGGCCGATGAGGCGACTGCGGATGGTTTGACGAGGAATGCGGGTAAGGGGGACGGAGTCGATGGTAATGCTGCCAGACGAGAGCTCGACCATACGGAAGAGTGAGAGGACCAGCGACGACTTTCCACTACCGGTGCGACCAACGATGGCGACCTTCTCACCAGGGTTGATGGAGAGGGAGAAGTTTGAGATGACGGGCTCACCGGGTCGATGGTATGCTTCGATGCTTCTGAACTCGATCTTGCCCGCGCTTGGCCAGTTGGAAGCGGGAATGTGATCTTCGCTCTCATGGTCTTCCGCGATGGCATCGGTGGTGAAGTTCTTGATCCTAGCCACACTTCCGATGTGTGTTTCTAGCTGAGTCCAGAAGGAGATGAGCAGCTTGATGCTTTGAGAAAAGAGTACGACGTTCAGTAGTGCAACACCGACATATCCTGCGCTGAGCTTTCCCTTTAGTGTGACGACGAGGACGATCAGAATAGTGGCAACAGCTGCAACGACGAGGTCCAAGACAAGCGTCAGCCATCGTTGTGCCGCGAAGAGAAGGTAGAAGGGACGCTGGCTGCGGTCAAGCAGCGCCTTGGCTTTCTCTTCGACGAAACTCTGCCATCCAAAGGCACGAATAGTCGCCAAGCCTTCCAGTATCTCGTTGAACTGAGTGTAGAGCGGCGACTTGGCTTCTAGATCGAGGAAGCGGAGTTGACGCGACGTGCGCAAGTAGAACTTCTGTACGAAGAAGACTGCGACAATGACGACAGGGAATGAGATCGCTGCGTAGGGAGCCGCGACGGCGATGAGAACCATTTGTCCGATGACCAGAACGAAAGTGGCAAAGGTGTTCAGTGCAGCGACTGGCAGCTCCATGTCGATCAACATGAGATCTTGGCTGAAGCGATTGAGCGTCACTCCGGTATCGGTGGTGGAGAAGAAGGACATGGGCGATGCGAGCACTGTATCCAGCAGCTTCTTGTGGAATGTGACACCAGAACGAGGTACCATCGTGATAATGAGCTGCCAGCAACTGACCATGAGGAAGAAGAGAGCAAGCCCACCAAGCATGGCGTAGATGCCCAGCCAGTAACCGAGTCGCTCGTTGGGGTGGTTCTCGTTGTACTCAGCCCACATCTTCACCCAAACTGTTGGGAACGAGATACCGAAGATAAAGATGACAATGGAAATGATGAAGATGATCGTCGGGATCCAACCCACAGTGCTGATGTAGTAGAGGTAGATGGCTGTGTCTCCAGTGCGGCGGTTCGCTTCCGCTTGGACGTCGTCCTCTGTGAGCTGGGCGTCGGTGACTTGACGCTCAGTGTATCGTGGCGGCTCTTCGTAGATGTGCTTCTCTGGGCGGTAGTCCCAGTCAGCGCGTCCAAGATCAAAGCCTGATACATAGCCTCCTGACTTATTTAACTTCTCGAAGGGGCCTTGTTCCGAGATGCTACCGTTGCTGTCGAGAGAGACGATATGATCACAGTAAGGTAGACGTTTGGCTGAAGAGGATGCAACAAGAACAGTGGTTCTGCATCGCTTCAATAGCCCCTCATAGCCGAAGAGGCTGTGCCAGATGCGGTTCTCGGTCTGGCCATCGAGACCGCTAAGGCAGTCATCGAGGATGATGATGTCTTTTTGGGCGTAGACTGCTCTGGCAAGCGCCTGGAAACGTACAGTGGTTAGTAATGTCCAATCATGAAAAGAGGGGTGAGTGTTGGTGTGTCTTACAATTCGTTGGCTCTGGCCTCCGCTCAATGCGATACCCTTGCTGCCGATCTCGGTTTGATCACCCTGGGGTAATTGCCGGAGGTCTTCATCTAACGCGCAGCTCCGAACAACCGATGAGTACCACCGATGATCAAATACTGCTGCACCGATAATGCTCTCCTGCACTGTGCCGTTCACATGCCATGGGGTTTGGTCGCACAAGGCGATCCGCAGGGAAGACACCTGCAGGGAGCCACCCATGACGGGCAGCTCTCCTAACACAGCTTTGAGCAGGGTTGACTTACCACACCCTACCGGTCCCACGACCATGGTAATCTTCCCGCGTGGGACGATCATGTCGATGTCCTGCAAGGTACCAGAGGGCTGCTTGACCGGGTCCCATCCGAAGTAGCCGTTCTCAATCACGATAGCCTGAGAGCCGAGCGCGCTGAACTCCTTCACTTCAACAGAGCCGCGGCTCTTTTGAGAAGTTTCGGATCCCTTGATCGACTCACCTGCGAACAACGACGTTGTGCTGCCACCATAGATGGAAGGGAATCTGCGCTGCTCATTTCTCGGAGCTAGTGTCAAGAAATCCTGGATTCTCTTGAACGACCCCACACCTCCCATGAGCGAGGAAAGTGCCATGATGAGAGACCCTAGAGGCTCAGTGAGGAGTGTGAACAGCGATAGGGAAGTGAAGACGGTGGCGGTGTCCAGTGTGCTTTGGCCGTCGCTGTTTTGTGCGATGACCGAGAAGACAGCAAACGCCAAGATGGGTGACACGATTGGCGAGATGTAGGCTATCGAAAGTCAGTGAATGAGGGGAGATTTTGCATGATATAGGACTTACAGAAACCCATAGTCCAGATGAGGAGCTTCCTGAACTTCTTGGAGATGTTGAGCTCATCGACTCGGAGCTTCTGAAGATCATCTCGTAACACTTCAGTGAGACCGCCCATCTTGACACCCTTCATCGAGTTGAGCATAGCGTTGGTCGCTGCGATTCGCCGTTCTATACCTTCAAGCCAAAGTGCTTGACGTTGCATTACCAAGCTGGTGGCTGCTATCGAGCCGAGCAATGAGAGGACGGCAACGCCGATAGGGATAGCGCATGCTGCACCGAGCTGTCGCTCCAGAAGATACATCGCAAGGGTGATTTCAAGAGTATTGGACCATATCTCGTGGCCAGTCTCCATGCCAGTAACAATGCGCTCAACATCAGCGCTCATGAGCGTGATAGAAGATGCAGCGTCCACGTCCGTCAATGTGACTTCTGTCGCCTTGTTGTATAGCATCGAGATGAGACCGCCTCGCATTTGGGTGATGAATCGGAACGTTAGATGCATGTACTGGCCGGTAGAAACCTGCATGGTTAGTTAGCGCAGCTGTCCACGACATGTTATCCCGGTTATATACTGACTGCGATGCCGATGAAGACAATGATGTATGCGCCGATGAGTCCGTAACCGATGTTTGAAGTTTGCGCCGTGTCTTCTTCTTGGGAGAAGAGGACTGCCCTTTCGATCAAGAAGGGTTGGCAAAAGTTGAAGGCGATCAGGAAAAGTCTGGGTGGCACGACTGCCAATATAGACCATTTAAGGTTTCTCAGTGTCATTCCGAAGAGAGAGTGGGCACCAATGTTTTTGACTATGAGCTCTAGCATTAGCGGGTGTGCGGGAAATGTTCAGACGTGATTATGACCTACCTCTTGCCCATGATGATCCAAGCAAATGATGCAAGTAGTCGGCTCGTAGGTGTTTGTCCAATTGAAAAAGGTCTTCGATGTTCAACGAAGTTGAGAATCCTTTTTTGAACAGCGAGTTCAGCCACCAGAAAGTCGCTCGCTTGTACATGCCACTGGTAGCCTCCGGCGGATTGTTGGCGAAGTCCGGCAAAAGGTGTCGGCGCTTGTCTCTTGCTTCCACTATAGCAAGGAAAACCTTCAGTCCCAGGCGGGGTCCGAAGACGGTGGCAACATGCTCAAGCTCTGGGGTGAGTCCGTAGCTGCGGGAACGTTCGATGTCGAATATGCTGGTGAAGAGGAGGTATACTGTGAGGAGGAATGATGGGCGAATGGTTCGCATATGCTCTACGTAGGAGAGACATCCTAGCAACAACGCGCCGACAAAACTGATGGCAGCGGAAGGGAGTTCAGCACGACTGTTGCGGACTTGTCGGTTCGACCAAACAACGAGAAGGGCGAGTTCGAAGCCAGTGAAGACGGCCCATGCTATCTGTGGTGTAATGGTCAGATACCTGAGTGTTGAGCTCGCGATGAAGTACATACCAGTTTAGTGTATAACAAGGTAGACCTAGAGACCTTGGTCTCCTTCCACCACAGTTGGTAGATCCTGAAGGGAGCAATAGCTATCAACAGAGATAGAGGTATGATGGAGAGAAAGATCTCTGAAAAGAGAAGAGTAAAGTCGAACCCGCCACGGCACTCCGCGCCGGCATAGGG